ACACACACACACACACACACACACACACACACACACACACACACAAGCCTGCATAAGTCGATGCCTCCCATTTGTATTCACATATGTGCACATCTCATGCAACTTAAAGCAACACACATCTACGAACATAGATACACACTAAGTGGTATGCACACACTAAGCAATATGCATATGCACACCCGATACATGCACACACAAGCAGTGCTCACATATGAAAGCACAGACAGACAGACATATATATATATATTTATGTGTGTGTGTGTGTGTGTGTATAGATGAATAGCAAACACGTGTATACTCAGAAGCACACCTATCATACATGTGTAAACATACATTTATATGCATCACGCATATCCTTTGGGTGTGCGCCAAAGCACACATGAATCCCCTCAACTCATGCATGCATGCATGTATGCACACATCAGCTCCCCCACTGCCACCTCTCCCCTGCTTGCCTTGCTGCCTTCCTCCCTGCAGAGCTCTGGAGTTGCCTCCCTGCAGGAAATTTCAAAAGAGACTGTTTATACAACTTCTAGTAAAGAAATAATTATTATAATCACATTAAGCGATTTGGCTGTAAAATTCCTGCAAAAGGGATGGATGTCCTCAAGAGGCGGTGAGTGGGGGTGCTGGACAGCAGGGGAGGAGGTGGCCTGGCAGCAGGGGGGCCCTTCCCCCATTTGTTTTGCTTATTTTCATCTCCCCTACTCCGGGAAATGAGTGCAGCTCCTTTTATGATGGACAGGCCCTTTCCCTGGTCCTTGACCTTCTGGCAGGATTCTGCTGAGCTCAGCGGAAAATGCTCTGCACGGTTGTGGCTCCCACATGTGGGGGGTGGGTGGGGAGCAGTGGGGAGGCCCTGGCCCTTCCCAAAAACAGAACAACAATAACAGCGGGCGGACTCTGGAGCCAGGCCGGCCGGGGGCCTGGACAATGTCCCGTGAAAACAGCTAGCAGAGAGGGGTTTGCTTTTGGCAAACCAGCCACTCAACATCACTGAGTTCTTGTGGCTTCCTCTCCCAACATGGCCCTGCTGGCTTCCTCCACCTCCTCCCCAGGGACACTTGAGAGCCAGGATGGAGCACTCTCTGAGGCTTCTGGTCAGAGTTGTAGGTTGGGACTGGGAGGCCTCAGCAAGTCCCTGCCCCATAGCCTGGGAGTTGAGAATGGACTCTCCCTCTTCCAGACTCTTCCATATAGAACCTGGGTAGCCAGAAATGCTTCATGCTCCAGGGCAGGAAACAAAGATTTGGTACCCCTGCAGTGTTCAGGCACTATCCCTGCTTCCAGTGTGATGGGTCACCCTGTGGGCCATGGGCCAGCCAGCAGGAGATGAGAACTTACACACATGACCCCTTGCCTTCCCTGGGTCAGCTCACAGAGGTACTAAGTGGCCTCCCTTATGTTTGAAGGTAGCCATGCTCCTATGGGTTGAGCCCTGCCTTGAACACTCCTATGATGCTTATAGCTTCCTGTTTCAGCAATGGAACAGCCTAGCCCCGAGTCTACCAGAGAATGTGAAGGGCACGGGGTGCCTGAGCTCTCCCTTCCCCACCCATCTCCCCCCACACTATTAGGAGAAGGAGGCTGGGGGGGATGGTTGCACTTAGTGTTATGTAGCAACTGGTGCTAAGCGCCAGGCTGCTGACCCACTACCCACATAGTTATCAAAAGGGAAGAGTAGACCCTGGGTTAGCCGGTAGGGAGAGCTGTCAGTAGTCAAAGCCGATGTGTGGACAAAGCCATGCCCCGGAAAAGCCCTGCTAACCATCCATCCACATCTCAGAGTTCTACAGAGCAGAGCCAGTCCCAGGCCCATGGTCCCCAGGCTGGTCACCAGAGCATATTTCCCCCTTAGGCTGAGGGGTTGCAGGCACAGCTGAACGTGGCCCATGAAAAGTTGGCTGGACTGCGCCAAGAGCTTCAGGACAGTGAGCAGAGTCAGGAGGGTCTCCGCAGGGAGGCCTTGGAGGCCCGCCGGGCACTGGACGATGAGGCTCAAGAGAAGGATGTGCTGCAATGCTCCAACACCAAGCTGCGGGCCACCATCCACAGGGCTGAGCAAGAGAAAGCCAGGTATGGCAGGTACCCTGCAGGGTAGTTAAGGGAGCAACCTGCAGCCCTGCTTTTCAACCAAGCCATAGTGAGAGGGCATGGCAGAGGGTAGTCTATGAGCTGGACCAGAAAGACAGTGAAGGCAACCTTCAGCTGTCCAGACTAACATGCCCACAAATGCCAGCCTATTCAGGAGGCTGGGAACCAGTTCCTGTCCTCAAGGAGTTCCCATCCGGCAGGCTTAACAGGCTACGGAACTAAAGTCACTGTGAGTGGCTCGCAAGACTAGGTTGGACATGAGGTCTCTGGGGGGGGGGAGTGATAGAGGTAAGGAAGGGTGGGCTGAGAGGTGAGAGTGGACAGAGGCACACTTCTGGGCACTAAGACATGGATAGACTCTGAGCCAGAGGTAATGGCTCAGAGTCTAACCCCCAGAGGTTATGTCTTAGGGCAGTGTGTAGAGTACACACAGACAATAGCAGCTCCCTGGGGAGGGTCTGTCTGGAGAGCTCTGGGACCAGTGTCCAGCCAGCCTGTGGCCTGCTTAGTTTTAAGCGGTCCAAGGAGGAGCAGGAGCAGAAGCTGCTGGTGCTTCAGGAGGCTCAAGTAGCAGCTCAGAAGGAAGCATATGAGCTGAGGACCAGGCTGCAGGAGTTGGAACAGGCACAGGGGGATACCCACCGGAAGCTCCAGGAACACCACAGACAGGTGAGGGGACCTCCACCCAAGCAGGCTGCCCCTGGTTGTCCTCTCCTCTTCCTGTCTCACAGCCATCCTGAGTGCCAGTTTCTAACTCCTGCTCTTGTTGTGGAGCGACACTGGCCAGAGCCACTCCCTAGTGAGAGCCATAACTAACACAACTGCTTCCCATTCTCCCCAGTCAGTACCCTCACCCAAAGAGGAGTCCCAGGTACATGTCTGCAGAGTAGGAGAGGTTGGATCCCAAGCCCTCTTCCCAGAACACATGTCCCTGGAATGTGGGACCCAAATGGAGGGCGTGTGAGAAGAGGCAGGGATTATTGGGGCTGCTGGGTCCCTGGCCCCTCAACACTGCCTGCCCCAATCCTAGGTAAGGACACTGGAAGCTGAGAACCAGAGGAAGAGGCGGGAGGTGAGTGAGCTGCAGGCCCAAGCCTCTCGGGATGCACAGCAGCGAAGGAAGAGCCTGCAGGAGGCGCTGGAGCTGCAGAGCCAGATAGCTGAGTGCCAGGCTGCCCGCGATGGTGCCCAGAAGGAGGTAGGAAGGCTGTTTGTCCCTCTGAGGGGGACCCCTGAGCTCTGGTACAAACAGACCAAGATGAGGTCCGCGAGAACACCTACAGGGGAGGCAAGAGTCAGTGAGTGGAAATGGTGCAAAGAGGCCAGATGCCCATTTCCTGTCTCCGTCCACTGTCCCCATGGTAACCTGACCATGTGCAGCAAGGGACAGGATAAAGGGATCTGAGGGCAAGGGGTTTGGTTAAGCTGTAACCGCTTAATTTCCCCAGATTTGTTTTAGAGAAGAGACAAATCTTGCCCAGGTGCTGGGCAGAGTCCAGGTAGGGAGGCCTCGGAACACTGAGTTAATGCCTGCTCACATCACACATGGCCAAGCCCTGCATACATGCACGCATGCACGCACGCGTACTCGTGCACACACACACACACACACACACACACACACACACACACACACATGCCGGACTTTCATACCCCCTATGCCTGCTCCCAAGACACTGTTTAGCCCCAGCTAGGACTGTAGTTCAGTATACTAAAGGTACTTCTTGCCTCCAAGGACAGAGGGGCCTTTCTGAACCCAGCATTCCCCAGCTTTTGGACATGAACAACATGCCTGGCCATCTTGAACACCAGTCATGCCTAGAATGTGGACAGCTTAGCTCCCAAGCTCATGTGACCCAGAATGACCTCAGCCCCACACCTCCTTCTGTGAATAAGGCCATTGTTATGCTGCAGCCACCCAGAAAGGAATATGAGGCAGGTTCCCGTGCTCTGGCTCAGGGGAAGGAGGCAGACTGCCTTTCTCTCTTCCCCACAGCCTGTGCATTCCCTGCTCACACATGCGCGAGTATGTAGGGTACAGGTATTGTCTATGGTGAGAAACACACAACAAAGCTCGCTTTGGTCATGACGTGCCTCTCAAGTGCAGAGGGCAGTCATCTATGACCCCAACTGTCTACGACTTTGCAGACAGCTGCCAGCCAAGCTCTCTGTTGGTGAAGGACATGCCGAGATGCTGAGGGGCGGTTCCCGCCTGACTTAGGTATACCCACCTGCTAAACACACTAGGAGACAGAGCTAGGGTACCTTCCAGCTACAGCCTGTCTTGGGATGATGCTGAGAGTCTTCATAGGGTATACCGAACAGGGTTTTCCCCCGTCCTGGCTGAGCTAGCTGTTGATGCAGCCAGCCTAGATGTCAGAATCCTACTTCTGAGTCCCAATGTCCTTCCTACAGGTTCTAGGGCTACAGCAGAAGTTGGCCGAAGTGGAGGCAGCGGGGGAGGCCCGGGTGAAGCAACTGGAAGAGATTCTTTGTGAGAGCCAGAGGGCTGAGCAGACCCTGCGGGCTGAACTGCGCAAACTCATCAGGAAGCTACAACAGGCCAGCAGCCAGGCTAACACCCTTCAGGCCAGCCTGGACAACGCCAGTAGCAGAGTCCACATCCTGGAGCAGGAGCTGGCCCAGGCTGAGGGTGCTAGGCACAATGCGGAGGTTCAGCTAGGCCGGCTGTGCTCCACACTCCGCAGTGTCCTAGGGCTACATAGTCAGAGCCGCTTGGCCTCTCCAGAGAGGCCCCATTCTCCCACAACAGGTCAGTGATTGCCACTCTGTTCTGTCCCCAACCTGAGTACCCTAACCTCTCCGTAGGCCTCACAACCCACATAATAAGGAGGCTGGGCCTGTCCCAACAACTTCAGGAGTCTGTGCTCACTATAGCCTTGCTCACAGCTCCTAGAGGCTGGAGCTGTTGAAAGAAAAGCACAGGACATCTGTGTGTCTGCCCCTACCCATCTCGGCTCTCACCTCCTGCAGGCAGCTCCCAGACTCGTCCTGGATGGCAAAGAGCCAGTCCCTCTACTAGATCCTACTCTCCATCCCGATGGCCCTCACCTGTGCCCGGAGACCCTGACTCACAGATCATAGATGTGGCCTCCGTAAGGGATGCCCTGAGGGACTTGGTGCAAAAGCTTCAAGAAGCCCAGCAGGAGCGGGTAAAAAGAGATTCAAGTTTTCCACACGCACTCGGGCATATAACCGCCCGCCCCCCAGCCCCGGGACTCATTCTGGGAGACAGGGAGGAACTCAGCCACTCACTCAAGACTGCCGTCCATCTGTCTGTCCATTCCCGGGCTTGCTGAGGTGCTGGCACAGTCTGTGGTCAGTTTTTAGACTGCCCTATGGTGATAAACCAGGAGTGCCACCACCTCTCAGATCCAAGTACATCACATGTCACAGGGCCACCCTGTCCTTCAGAGTGGGCAGCAGCAAATGCCCTGGGGCTTGCCTTGCTGAGGCATCCCAGGGTCTGAAGACACTGTATTACACTCCTAGCCATGAAACCTGAGTGCTCCCCCACAGTCTCTCATACAGGGACATTCTCGCCTCCTACTCACCGATGCCTCTGGTCCCAGGCTCCATCAAGGAGGGACACAGTGACTGTCCCCTTATCACTCCCTTGGAAACAGATGAGCTTGGGACAGGCCATAATCACAGAGACCACAGGGTTGTCTACCTCGTCTCTTTGGGCTCCTCCTTCTGCAGTGCTAGACTGGGGGCGAGCTTCTCAGCGCTAATCCTCAGCCTAATGCTCCAGCCTCCTGCGCCGCTCCTGGAAGCTCCCCACTCTGTTCAGGCCCCGGATCGAGGTTCTTTAGACTCTTCCCTTTCTCCCGCCTCTATGCCCTCCCAGGCAGGCTGGTGTGTAAGCTCAGCCACCCACGGTAGCTGGCCTTCCCTACAGCTTACGGTCTCACCACCTCATCCCCTACCCTGCTCCATATGTTATGGGTTCGACCAAAAGCTGCCTGCCTGGTCTCCCAGCTCACTGGTAAATATGGTGCGCCCTCCCTCTTGCCTGCCAGAGCACCCTGCTGAGTTCCTTCTTTCTACTTAGGACAACTCCAGCATCCAGGTGGCCAGTTTGAGCAGCCGTTTGAGCGAGGCAGAGAGTGAGCGCGTCCACCTACAGAGCCGCGTAGAACAGCTACAGAGGGACCTAGCTGATGCGAAGGAAGGTGAACCTCTCCTGCCTATGAGGGGGCCCTTCCATGTCCCTTTTTTGCCCACTTTTAGTGGCCTCAGGAGAGCTCTGGGGTAGGCCTGGGACTGTACCCAGCCCCCAGGATGGCACAGTGCCACCTGTCTCGGTGATGACTTCCCATTAGAGGGATGGACTCCAGAGACCTCTGGGACCTGCTGAATCTGGCCATCTGCCCACCTCCCGCAGATCCACCTGGGGTCAGCTGAAGCTGTGCCCTCGGCTTGGCACCCTTCTTCCAGAAAGCCACATGACTCCCCTTGCCACTTCCTCAGAGAAGCACTTTTCTGGCTCTCCCCCAGTATTTTATGCTTACTGCCCCCCCCATTAAAAAGGCAGTGGTGGGGAGGGGGGATTGTCCCAGAGCCTGGGAAAGAAAGGAAAGATGATGGGGAGAGAAAGCAGGGCAGATACGGGGAGCAGTGACCCAAGGTCAGAAGGTCAGCCAGAGGACCACTCCCCGCACCCCAGCTGAGATGGGGAGCCTCTCTCATTCCTTCCCCGTGGCCTCAGATCACTAAGTCTACTTGCACCCTGTGAACTGGGAAGGGGCAGTGCCAAGTGGCAGTGACCCCACAGATGTGCCAAGCTTGAGAGACTCAAGCCGCCCTGTTCCCCCCCCCCCGCCCCACCCCAGGGCAGCGTAGGGCAGAGAGTGCACTGCACAGTGCCCAGGCAGCTCGGGCCCTGCAGAAGGAGGCACTCCAGAGGCTGGAAACAGAGCACCTGGCAAGCACGCGGGCTGCAAGCCAGGAAAGGAGGAGGATGCAGGTAGGACGCTTGAGAGGTTGCTACAGACCAATCAGACCAAGACCGGGTCTTGGGCCCCTCCCCAGCACAGCTATCTTTGACGTGGTCCTAGACCTCATTTTACAGGTTGGCAAAGCTGAGATCTTCCGGTGGGGGGCAGAGTCTTCCAGGTCCACCCATTTATCTGAGGTCCCATTAAAAGGGAGGCCCTGCTGAGCTCTGAGATCTCCACGGGGCCTTTGCTGTTGCTCCTGGCCTGTTTTTCATTCTGCATCACTCATACACAAAAGGGTTTATGTGGGACTCAAGTCTGTGTTCTTATGTTGGGTGCTGTGTTATGGAGTAGCTGCTGGAGTTTCAATTTTATATGATGACATGGGGCCTAGAAACCCTAGAGAGGGAGCAGCTAGGCTAGGCCATAGGTCAGGGCATAGCTCTGGCCTCCCTCTGCCCTCTCAGGAAGGGACTCTACCATGGACCATAGGTGGAGTAACGTAGCAATTGCTGAGCTTTCCCTGGGCAGGAGCAGGACTCCAGAGAACAGCTGAGACATTCCATAATGTTCTGGGCAGACACAGATGTGGAGAGAAGAATATGCCCAGATAGAAGGCCTCCCGGAAGTATCAGGAAAACGGGATCCCTTGGGTTTATTGCCAGAAGGATAAAGTCAGCAACCATGGGTGGGAATGGGTAATGGGGTAAAAACTACAGGTCACTGGTCCCCAAGTATTCCTCCAAGGAGGGAGCTTGAGATGAATGATAACCCATGACCATGGGTTCCACAGGCTTCTATCTGAGCATCAGCTGAAGAGGCAAATACTAGGCCAGACTGGTCACCAACCTCACGCAGGCCTACACAGCCTCTCTCCATGCATGGAACATGTTGGGCATCTAGCCACCCTCAGAGGCCTTCTGTATAGAGCGGTCAGGTGGGCAGAGGCCTCAGCCTATGAGGAGGAGCCTCCCACAGGGAGATGGAAGGCAGAAGACAGAGGCCATCCTGCCTGCCGGAAGCTTCCTCATCTGCCCAGGAGGTTTCAGAAAGACCCTCTAAGTACAGATGCTGGGGGGCGGGTGGAACGTGCTTCTCCTAATGCAATGTCCTCATAGCCATGTATAGGGGAGAATGACCCTGGGTCCTGGAACATGGCATAGACGGACAGTGACAGGACCAGAGAAGAGGTGGCTTGCTGGGCTAGATCAGTTTTACTTTACATGTATGCTCACTTGTGTATGTTTTCTGTGAACTGTTATGATAAATCATCATCCCATTTCAACAGGAAGTAACTTGGAGGATGCTATGCCCCCTTTCCCCATTGTTGTCACTTAGGATACTGTATATACCTAGTTAGGGATAGCTTCCTATTGTTTT